CCATGTTCTAGACATTATTGAAGATGGGGGAAAAGCAGTATTTTGGTCTCCAGCCACTATAGGCGTTTTTAATATATACAAATGTGATTTACAGCTGTAATCTAGGTCAGCTACAAGGCTATTATCACAACTGCCAACAATTTTTTTGCTCTTTTCATATTTTATCAATGAATAAAAGCCTCAATTGCTCTGATAAGAATTTACCTATAGAACTATCCATTGTGTGTTTCTTCTGGCAGTGATGTCCTTCAGATTGCAATTGTCTGGCCACTAAAACATTTTCACCATTTAGTCTTCGAATATTTTTAACAATACAAATAATAGTGCAGACAATGAAATTGATTTCACCCCCAAAAATCTAATCAAATTAAAATTAGTACATTGTTATTGTCATTTATATTTTCAGGTTTCAACCAAGAGGGAATATAATTATTTTCCTCTTAAGTTTTACTCTTCCTACATTATAAAGTAAATGCTGCGACTACCCTTACATTTTCAATTCAAAGTTCCATTACAAGGAGCATGCTTAAAGAGCTCTGCCTCTTTTAAAGAAAGATTACTGGTTTATTTTAATGTTGACACAGGAAAAAAAAATAATAAAAAAAAATCTTGGTTTCTCCTATTTTTTTATGGTGTGAGCGTGTAATAGGTAGGACGTGTGTTCAGGGTCAGGCATGCATGAAATGAGTGTGAGGAGTGACTGGGTTTTGGTGGGCGGGAGGGTGGTTTATTATGCTTGGAAAATAGAAAATAAAGTTAAAAATAAAAAAAACTCTGAAAAATAAGGAATATTTTTCCTTAATGTGTAAAAGGTTATTTCTATCAATAAATTAACATGGAAAAATCATGTCTCTGACTTTTTATTTTTTTAACATCATTTCCCAAAAATGAACTTTCAATTATATTTCAATGCATGACATATAGGGTCTACTCTACACCAAATATAATGCTAACATTCTAGTTCCACTTACGACAGTTTCTGCACATATATGACTTTGGTTTTATATTTCTAAAACATTGTAGATGCTGCTTCTGGTGTATCATGCCTTATGTGTATTTAGAGGAACAATATTGTTTTAAATACATACACTATATGGACACAAATATTGGGGACATCTGATCATTACACCTACAGGAACCTTTATAAGATTGGATTCTAAATGCTTGGATATTAATGTGGAGGTGGCATGTAGTTATACCAGTAATATGTAGTTGGTAGCTGTTATACCTTTGCCAGTATAACCACTTTCACTCTTCTGGGAAGACTTTGCACAAGATTTTGGAGTGTTTCTGTTAGAATTTTATCACATGACAGGAGGCTTCTTATTTTGCATAATTCTCTTTACTAAAAACTCCAGCAGCACCGTTCATAAACAGAACAACCAATCAAAAAACAGCTATACATGCCATTAAAGGCCCTGCCAGCATAAACGCCTTCTCTTTCTTTGCTGCTCCTGCTGGACAGGTCAGAGTATTTTGTCCTTGTGATTTCTTACAGTGTTTAGCTAATATTCTTATTTATCGTATTTGTGTTCTCATTTGCTTGATGCTAATTTTATTTTGCACCCACTACTGTCTACTGCCTTTTCAATACCTTATTTGTACTTTCTTTCAGCCTTCCCTGTGGCCTTCTGCTTTTCCTCCACCTCAGATTTGAGCCTGGGGTTTTACTGGCTCTCTCCCCGTTGCTCTATTCTCTCTGTTTTTGGTCTCTAAAATTGTGGGATTCTGTGGGTAGTGGGGCACCCAGCGCTATATAATGAAAGTTGGCATGCCCGTAAATGCATGCCTCGTCGCCAGTTGCCAGCGTACGTCGGCCGTCTTGAATCTTGCGAGTACCGTTTTTTGTTCCAGATCGGGATTAACATGATCTGGACACTATGCACCTATACTCACGTGCTTCCACTGCTTTGACTTTCATTTTGAGTCTACCATCAAGGTACTATACAACTACAGTTGCTCCATCTGCTACAAAAACTGTGTCAATTCTGGATCAGCTGCTTGTCATATACATTCACTGTAAAATCTCCTATGATATGTGGCTGAAGGTTTATTATATAGCAGTAAGTGTTATGTGCCAAGCATCATAGTTGCCATTAGTGAGTGTCCTCCGTTGCACACCGCCTGGAGTGGGACCCTAGATACCATATGATGTGCTCTGCTTAAGCAGAATCTACAGGGGTGATCCCCTTTTTCTCATGGTACCTTAATCTATTCACCACTGAAGACTATTGAATCCAGACATGTTACACAAAACACTCCACCTGGGGTGAGCACCCAGTCAATCATACATATGTTGTGATGAGGCAGGTTTTCAGGTATGATGCATCTATTATGATACCTCAATACTTTTTTTTCCACATAAGTGAAGCATCTACAGACAGTTTATTGCTGACCATAGGAGCAGTTCTGGCGTACGACTGGGGTGAGCCCCCAATGTCAATACCTGACAATGTTGGCAACAACTGCTACGGCTAGCCCCTCTAGAGTTCATGGTTCTGATCAGGTCACTGATTTACACATAAATTGTCTGGAATTAATTGCTGAATCTTTTGCCATCCACAGCCTAGCCAATTTTATTTAACAAAATGACAGTTAAAATAAAAATAATAATTCTACAGCTCAATACGTCAACAACCTAGAGAAAGGCAGATCCCGAGCCTTGACAGACAACAAAAGACATTTACAGATTCTGCCACTCATGCAAAAACACTCTTCATGCAGAATATCTTCAGAGGATCACCAATCTCACGGCAGACTGATTTTCTCACCTCTGGCGGAACAGGAGTGACTGGTGACTAGACACATTGCTGTCCCTCAGGGGCCCATTGCATGTGGATCTACTTTCCTCCAGGACCAACTGAAACTAGGTCCTTCAATTGGCTTCCGGATCCAGACACTGAGGCGTAGGATGTGTTCCTCCAACCTATGCCTTCCCACGGCTCTCCATGCCGGCAAAAGTACTCCATTACACACACCTTCACAGAGTGTCTCTTCTTCTCATCGCTCCCCTCTGGCAGAGCCAGATCTATTAGAACTCTCTGACAACTATCATCTCTTCTTACTATCATTTCCCCTTCTACTGATGAGACCTTGCAGGGAGCCACACCCTCTTGTGAGCAGAGGCTGGTCCTAGTGGTTTGGACGCTTTCATGGGATCCATGGACTAAAATACAAAGAAAGAGGGTAAGTGGAACAAAAGTGCAACAGAAAAGTGCAGGCAAGTCACTAAAAGTATCACTCTCCAAATCCCATTTAAAAAAAATAAAAACAACTTGTCTATCCACAACAGGTACACAATATAGGGCACCACAGTCACTTATTGTGGTGTTATAATTACCGCTCAATACATGGTGGTGGTATTTTTTGTTTCCATATGCATTTAACCATCTATTGAGTGGTAACTATAACACCACAATAAGTGGCTGTGGCGCCCTCTATTTTGTACCTGTTGTAGACTAAAGATCTTTTATGGGACTCGTGGGCTTCCAACACTAAATTATGCTACATGTCTACTTGGAATTCTTTGAGTAGTTGGTATTTGGAGAGGGGTTCAGATCCCTTTACAACACCTGTTCCTGTCATCCTGAACTATCTATCCCACATCTTTTCGCTGTTCGTTCATTTCGGTCTATAATCTGTTACGTGTGGGGGTCCAGAGACCTGTATGCCTGATGATGGTAGGAGTTACAGTGTGGAAATGAACAATCAGGGTCTGGTGCAGGGTAACCACACGCCCCCTGGTGTTGAGCACCAGGGTTTGTGCGGCCACATACCAGGACCCTGATGCAGCTTCTGAGGATCCCAGAAGCTTGATAATATGCAGATATGTATCCAGTACTAGAAACAAGGCAAGACTAGAATAGGCACCAAATAAGATAACAAGACAAAACTAGAAGAACCCAGAACCGGAACAGAACAGAAAGCAGAACCCAGAACATATACACAAGACATGAGGGAAACAAGAACAGGACAGGACTGTACATGAACTGGAAATACAAGACAAAATAAAATGAGACAAGAGATACAAGGCAAAAAAAGAGGAGAAATGATTAAGTACTATATATGTAATAAACATTGGAGACTTAGCCATACATAAAGTACTCCAATTACGGTGGGTCCTAACTGCCTAGATATGCATGACTAAAAGTACAACAATAAAACACACACAGTACTTACCTGCAAGGAAAGGACAGAGGAATGAGACCACTGCTAGCAGGAACTCACTGAAACAAAAAGGATAAATGGCAAAGGAACGGGTGTGGCAACACAAAACAAACATATGAAGGAATCCAGGAGACTGGGAATTCCAGGAACCGAATAAAGGCATGAACCCAGCATGAAGAAAACCAGACATAGAATAGATAACCAGAAAAACCAAGAAAAACTAAACAAGAATTGTAAAAAGAGTATTGGATATCAGAAGCCATGACCAGAAATATCCGCAGAATGAAACAGGAGGTTACATCAACGTGGTGCGCTCGTCTATCGGCAGCTCACATTTCCCTTCAAGGCACCCTAGTGGGTCAGGACCCTCTGGTTTGTTGTCTTTTGAGAGGTATTAAGTTGTCCAGACACCCTGTACCTAAATATGCCCACCTCTGGGACATGGATTTGCTGCTGCGTTTTTTTGTTTTATTTTTTTTAGGATTGTGGGGTTTGCTCTTCAACAGCTTAGGAATGTGGGGTTGTCTCTTCAACAGCTTTCAGCTTCACTTACCCTATTATGTCTCTGTGACGGAGTGCCCTTCGCCACTTGTGCCTGGAGAGGACTAATTACCAGCCTCTTGCCGTATGACTATTGTCCCTGGGAGATTTTGCCAGTTAGAAACACCATTTGGACTTATTGGTGTTTTAAAAGACTGTTCTGGCCCTTTAAATGGTACTGGCACAGTTCTGCAACTTCCAATAACTGTCATATAATCAAACACTGACTGAATTTAACTGTCATTTTGTTTTCCTCTGAGGAGTTGTTGTTTTGCTGCATGAGTGCTGTTGCTTTTCTGTGCTCATTAAACAGACCTGCTTGACCCTTTCTTGAAGCCTTGGCTCATGCTTGGGGGATAAGTCTGCAGTGCTGATGGTGTCAGTTAGAGTGCTTGGAGTCCTCGGCAAGCACTAGGAGCATCGATTGGCGGAGGTACTGGGTCGGAGTGCCAGCGGGTCCGTCACAGTCTCCTTTTCTATCTTTTTTTTTTTTCTGTTCTTTCTCTTGTTTGTGCGTTATAAATACATTTTTATGGTACGTTGAGGTTACTGCACCTTTACAGACTTTGCCTTCGGGCCAGCCTCTGTTTTCTTATGTGGAATCCCCACACTCCGCTCTCGACTTTGGTCTATGGCCGGGATCAATTCCTGATTTGGAGTTATAGGCTTTTTCGGCGGCCTCGTCGATTAGCGACATTATGCGATGTGCGGATTGGACATAGAAGAATACATTCCGTGTGTTTTACTTGAGGCAATCTTCTCACACTTCTTTCACTTTTCTGAATCCTCTGCGTTAAAAAAGTGCCAAATATGAAGCCTCCTGTCGTGTGATAAAATTGTAGATTTTATGACAAGACATGGAGGCTAATATTGCATTTCCCTTTCTTTACTGTCCACCAATAGCAGCAAAGGATATAAACAGAATGAAAAAACAATGTCATACAGTGACATAGGCCCCTCCCTGCACAGGTCCCAGTATAATAGGCATCACTTCCCTTCCATTTCCCTCTTTGCTCCAAAGATAAGTAACAGCTCACATTTTTCTCTCATAGATTACTTATTTATTCTGTCAGTTATGGTTGTTAATTCTGCTATTTATTGTCATTTATTGTTCTATTGTTTCTTTTTTTTTTTTTTTAT